TTTATACTGTTCATCAGTCCTGTTGTGTGTGGAGCTTTCTCCACTCTTGTGCCAATACACCTGCTCCATTGTTTTTGCTCCTTCTTGTGGCAGAATCCTTACATTTTTATGTCTTCTCTGCTTCTTAGAGCTCCCCAGGCTGACTGCTGGAAACCCTCTTCTGTTCTCCAGAAGGAGGCACTACTCCCCAAGTTTGTGTTTTCTTCCTCCCCCAAACCCCCATCTCTGTTTCTGAGAGCATTCCATTTGCTGTAGCTCGCTCTTGTGGCCACATTCAGAAGAGTCACAAGGAGCTGGCTGCAGAATAGAGTGACGTGCGACTTTGATACTCGGCACTCTGGGGGTGCCATGGGCACAGTGTGTTATACATATATATATAACATATATATATGTATATATGTTATATATATACATATATAACATATATATATATACAGATTTTGTTATACATATATATATATGGTTGCTAAATATATATAGTTACATAATAAATATATATTTTCACAGGTACAAATAGTAGCATACTATATGACTATTTTGCACCTTGAATTTCCTCTTAATAAGTAGAAGGTAATTTTCCATATGAGTGTACGTATAACTGCCTATTCTGCATTAACAGCTCCATTGTACTCTCTTGTAAGGATGAATAATAATTATTTAATGTCTCCTATTTATGCACATTTAGGTTATTCAAAAGGAATATGCTGTAATAGTTAGCAGCACAGACTCTCCACCGCCCCAGCTGGGTTTGAAACCCTTCTCGCCCCCTAGATGCATAACCTTGGGCAAGTTATATAACCTCTGTCCTTCAGTTTCTTCATCTCTAGAATGGGAACAGTAACAATACCTATCGTGTGGGTGTGAGGTGAGGATTAAATGAGCTGGCGCATGTTCATAAATTGTAATAGTGCGCAGCACCTAGGAAACGCTGTGTGTTTGGTGTTATTGTTTACAGTTTTGCTTTTACAAATAATACTGGATGGATTCCTTCACACCCACTTCATTTCTTCAAGTTCTGTACTCCATGGCCCAAAACTGGAGTGGTTAGGCATACACACCAAAGGATCAGTATACTAAAACTTTTGATATCGTTAACTTTCACTCCTTGGCAGGTGGATCGATTTGAATTTCCAGCAGGAGTGCCTAGAGCGCCATTTCCCCACACTCATGGCAGCACAGTACGTCGCCAAGCTTCTTCACCTTTACTTTCCACTTGCATTTCTCTTAATATGAGCTAATCTGAGCGCTTTTCACATGTTTAAGAACCACGTGTTTCCTCTTCTATGAGCTGTTGGTCCATATCTTTTCTCATTTTTCTTTTAGTTTGGTTGTGTCTCATATTCACTTCTAAGAGTACTTTTCCCCCCTTTTATTGCATATATCCTGGTTATTCCCTCTTAGTCTGTGATGGATGTAGTGAAATGTCTTCACATTTGTTGTTTGTCTTCTAACTAGTTATGAGTCCTTGAACACACCATTTTATGCTTCTTAGTGTTTTTTCCCTTAACATGAAATTCACTTTTATTGTTATTTAGGAGTATTTGATAATCCTTAATGAATTTTGAGTTTAGAGCCTGGGATCCAAATTTAGTTTTATCAAATGACTAACCAATTATGCAAGCACAATTTATTGAATAATTCATCTTTTTCCAAAACACATATGATGCTAATTTTATCATATACTAACTACTATACGTATTTGAGTCAATTCTGGACTGTCCTATTTCATTGATCTGTCTATCTGTTCCTTTGCTGGTATCACCACAGTGTGTCTTACGATCGAGGAGGGCAGACCCTGCTCAATACTCAACATTTTCAGAATTTTCCTGGATGAGCTTTTTTGTTTACTTTTTCATAAGGATTTAAAAATCAGCCTCTCTAATTGTTAAAAAGTTACTATCTTTGTTGGGATCACATTAAATTTATAGTTCAATTTATGGAGAGTTGACGTCTTTCTAATGTCAGGCCATCCAAGATATTTCATTTTTTTCCCTTAGTTTCAAACACTTAGTTTCCATTGCAATCTCTTATTTCACTCTGAAGTTATGTAATAATCTATATCTTAACATTGAAAAGGATGTTTCATTATTCTTTAAGTGCTTTCTCTCCTTGTTATGCTGGGTTGATGTGCTAGTTTTCTGTTGCTGCATAACAGATTACCACAAACTTAGCAATTTGAACAATGCCCGGGTGCTAGTGCCCAGTTCTGCAGGTCAGAGGTTCCACAGGCCAGAAGCGTGGCACAGAGTAGCTGTTTTGAAAAGTCCCTGAGTTATATACCTGCCCTTCCGATTTCAAACATCTTTGCCTAGGCTAGCTCTAGTTTCTATAGAAGATACTGCAAATCTACACGATTCCAATTTCCTTGGCCCATAAAGATTAAATACATATGTTAAATTGGCTTCATATTTCTTTTGTTGTAACCAACTCTGGATTAATGATAAATGCATTATTCATGTCTCTAAAAAGTCTGAAATGTATTTTATTTTCAAATTTGCAAGGGCACATATCTTGACCAGAAGAAAAAAACCCTTGAAATCAATTGGATTTGGCCATGTGGTGACTTGATTTGAGCTAAAAGTTGTCGCTGTGTTGCATATAAATCTCTGTGTGAGGCAGTGGGGCCGGGCGGTGTGAACGCTGCTCACGCGTGGGGATTTGCAGGGTGCTGGTGAATTAGACGAGTTATTAGGGTGCATGCTAAGTGGTTCTAGCAAGAAGACCTGGAGCAACGGGGCCTAAAGAAGACAAACATTTCCTTCTCTCTCCTGTGACAATCCAGGGCTGGCGCTCTCATTTTTAATACACGACACCTTGGGGTCCAAGGCAGCCCATCTTGGCACCACCTGGGGGGGAAGAGGAAAAATGCCAAGGATCATCAAGGACATCAGTGGGAGTCAGAAGGCACTGGAAAATACCCTCCGTGTGCTGAGAAAAGAAGCAATGATGCTGGGGCAGACTGGCTCATTTAGTTTTCTACCCGTGTGCACATCAGCAACCTGCCTTCAGAGTGGGCTGTGTGAGGTCCAGCCGGTGGGTGAGCCGTCAGGATGCCTCCAAACACTCCTCAAACTCGGCCCTCGAAGTGCCCACAGACGACCTTCCAGGCTGTTCCCCCTCTGAAATCGACTGTGGTGATGGTGCACAACTCCGTGCATATACCAAACGTTGAATTGTGCACTCGAAGTGTGTGACGTGTGTGGCATGTGAACATATGTCAATAGAGCTACGAGGAACAGGAGGAGGAGGAAAATGTAAGCCCCCGAGGTAAGGGGTACTTTTGTTCGTTTTATTCACTAGCGCATTCGAAGGGACCCAACACCTGCACAGAGATGTTTTGAATGAATAACTAGTATCATGTATGAAATGGCCCAACCCCATATATTTCATTGACTGTAGTTATTTTCTGTTGCAAACGTCTCATTTATCCTTGACTTTCTTCTTCCTGTTTAAAATTTTTTTTTCAGTTTTCAGTTTTCTTATTGTTTGTTTTTGTCTTTTCTTTATTCATTTCTCTTTTTTCTCTTTTATGTTTTATTTCTTTGTGTTTCTTTGTTCATTTCTCTTTATTTCTTTTTCCATTTTCCATTGAGGTGAAATTCACATAACATAAAATTAACCTCTTTAGAGTGCTAATTCAGTGGTATTCTGTACATTCACAGTCGTTGCAACCAGCACCACTATCTGCTTCCAAACTATTTTTATCGCACTAGACTAAAACGCCAAACCACCGGGCAGTCACATTCTGTTCTCCCCATCTCCCTGTGCCTGATGATCACCAATCTGGGGTGTGTGTCTCTGGAGTTGCCTCTTGGACGCTTCACACACGTGGAACCTACAGGACAGGGCCTCGCGTCTACCTGCCATCCTCTCCTCCCTTGGCCCTTTCAGGGTGCTGTCCCCACCCCGCGTAAGGGCTGCACCTCACGAGTTGGGTGGACATCTCTCGTAGAACTTGATGTTCAGAGAAAGGCCCTGGGCCACACAGGAGCTCATGCCCAGTGAGGCCCACTCACCTGGGTGGCCGATGAGGACCTGGAGGACGTTTGCTACGCAGGTGTGGAGCCCTCGCCTCCTCGTGGCGGCTCTCAGGGTGAGCCGTTACTGGCGTCTCCGCAGACTCTCGGCGTCCATCCTTGTCCTTGGCGAGCCTCGAGTCCTGCTTCCTCAAGGCTGGCGGATCTGAGGTGCGCTGTCTTGTCACGGCCCGGTCCTCCTTCCTGACTCAGAGAGCACCTGAGCGGAGCTTTAGCTGGTGTCGTCATCTGATCAGAGCAACGCACAGGAGGAGGAGAACGAGTAGCAGCCATGACCCTCATATTGGTGTGTGAGGGGGACAACTGCCCGCCAACAGTGGCTCCCCGAGGAGGAATGGGGGGTGGGGTGGGCTGGGGGCAACACCAGCCCCCGTGTGAGCTCTGACTTTGGGGGGACACAGACCTTCAGAGCCTGGCATTCTGCCAAATAGAATGAGACACCCCACCTCCAAGAAAGTCAAGCAACCCTTCTTCTTTCCCACCAAACCCTTCTGGAGAATTCCAGACTTGAGTCAACAGAAGGAAGAAGAGGCAGGAACACGGTCCAGCCCAGCATCTTCCTCAGGTGGGTGTTCTGAGCCCATCGGAGTCTGACTCCCAGCGAGGACAGACTGCCACAGCTGAGGGGATGGGGAAGGGGCTGGCCTGAAATCCGCCCAGTGGTCTCTGGGGGTGAAATGCCAGATTTTGGTCAGGTTAAACCTGGTCATGAAAAACTTTCCCAAAGGAGGCGGGCCCACCTTGGCAAGGATGGAGCTCTTTGGGTAACGGAGCAACTTTATCTCAAGGCCCAGCCTCTGCCCTGGCCCGAGTCTGAGCCTTCGAGATGTGAGTCTCCTCCTCAGGCTCCTGGCACCACCCCGACACCGTCCGCCACCGGCTGCCCCACTTGCCCTCCGTCTCCCCCCTTATCTCCTGCTGCCAGGGTCCTACTCCTCGCCCTCAGGAGTTCAGTTCTGGTGACCACACCCCTCAGGGAGCCCTCGGGTTTGGGGTGTTTTGTGTGGCAGCTCCCAAAGAGGCACAGTTGGTTATTTTTCCAGAAAAGTCCTAGGAGGATCCTCCAGAGATCGGGGACTCAGCTGCATGCGCTGTTTCCAGGCTGCCCTCACACCACCTGCAGACGGCCCACTTCACTAATTCAATGGCCCACCTGGAGCTAGCAGAGAACTAAACTGCTCCTCACCACCACCAGGATTCCCAGGAAGCCTGTAGCTGGACTCGGGCTGGGTGAGGACTTGCTGCTTGGGGCTCATCTACGTCTCTGCTTTCTCCACTTTCCTCCCATCCTTGAGGGCAGGGGCACCGCGGGCTTTCCTGGGACCTCATCGATGTTTCTGCTTTCTCCACTCTCTTCCCATCCTCGAGGGCCAGGGCACCGCGGGCTTTCCTGGACGACAGGCACACATAGGAGGAGAACATTTGTCCACATAGCTCCTGACTCCTTCACAGAGATGCCAGGATGGGAGGCTGTGCTGGGTGGAGTAGCCAGGCCAGCGGACCAGTTCAGAATCTGGCTGTCTAAACTGAGTCCACAATAAGGACTAAAGTACAGGGTGTGTTGGCCTCAAGTCCTCGTTGCCACACAGCCCTGGGGTCTGGGTCCCCTCCTCCAACTGCAGAAGTTCCCTTGGGAACAACAGGAAAAGGGGGCTTTAAGGGGCTCTGTGGATGTGGTTCTGACCTTGGATTTAGGTTTTCTCCCCCAGACTGCTTGTCATTCATGACAGATCGTGGCTAGAGATTGGACAATAAGCTTAACTGAGCAGGTGAGGAAGTGAAGCCCCTCATACTGGAGGGGTCTCCGTGGAGCTCTGTGGATGGATGCCCATAAGAGAAACGTTACCCTAGGGCTGGTGGACACAGGACTGGCTGAGTTGTGGTCTCTCTGTCTGGGATTCATAGCTCTTGAGGGACGAGGAGGGCCCGAGATGGTTGAAAACGACCTTTCTCTTCCAAGGTCATTTTCCTTCACTTCTATTGGCCTCCTGATGTGTCATGTCGCCCTTCAAGACAGAGAGACAACAGACAGACAGAGAGACACAAAAGAAAGAGACAGAGATACAGATAGACAGAGATGGAGAGGGAGATAGAGATATAGAGACAGAGACAGAAAGACAGAAACAGAGACACAGACGGAGATAGAAACAGACAGAGAGAAACAGAGACACAGGGAAACAGAGACACCAAGAGACACAAAGAGAGAGAGAGACATACAGAAAGACAGAGACAGAAACAGGAAGAGAGAAGAGAGACAGCAAGAGAAATTAATGTGGTCCCCACGTTGTCTCTGGCATCCAGGCTGTCTCTGTCCCCAGCAGGCATGGCCAAGACCCGTGGACAAGATGCCTTTCGGCCCATTGGCTCTGTTTCCCTCGTCCTCCTGCAGCTGCTGTCTGGCGCCATCCCTGGAAATGGTAGGAGAGCTTCCCTCCCCGTGCTAGGAGGATGCCCCAGTGTAGGGAGGGGAAGGCCAGAGGAGAGCCAGGCCGACACTTTCCCGTGTCAACTCAGGACCCAAGGACTCTAGCCCAGGGGACCATGGCCGTGGGTGGGAGAGGCTGGTCTCCTGGCCCCTGGTCTAACCAGTCCTTTCGGATCTGTCTGTAGGACAGAAAGCTGATTTCGAGGTCTTTGGGCCCCGTGAGCCTGTTCTGGCCAAGGTGGGGGAAGACGCAGACCTGCTGTGCTATCTGTACCCCAACATCAACGCCGAGGACATGGAGCTGCGGTGGTACAGGGACCAGCCCTCCCCCGCCGTGCACGTGCACAGGAAAGGGAAGGATGTGCCTGAAGAGCAGATGGCGCTGTATCAGGGAAGGACCACCTTCCTGAAGGAAGGTGTGGCCCAGGGCCAGGCCTCAGTGAGGATAGGCAATGTCACCGCTTTCGACAACGGGACGTTCCACTGCCAGTTCAATAACGGCACCATGTCTGCAGAGGCCACGCTGTGGCTGACGGTGGCAGGTGAGGGCCGGCCAGCGGAGTCCTGGGTCTCCCCAGGAGCTTCTCCCCGAAGTTTCCTCTCAGCTCCAGGTTGTGGCCCATGTTCCTAAGCCTGAGCACTCCCACGACAGGTGCTCCTGGCATCCCGTGTTCCAGGCGCTGTCACAGCGAGGTCTTCCCGGAAAATGTGTCTCTGAACACGCGGCTCTGTTTTCTAACTTCCTCATCTTCTCTGCCCCAGGGAGAAAAGGGGAGGGAGGGAGGAAGAAGAGACAGAGACAGAGAGTCAGCAACAGAGAAACACAGAGACAGAATAAGAGACAGAGACAAACAGAGCAACAGAGACAGACAGGCAGACAGACAGAGATGCAGAGACAGAAAGACAGACAGTGAGAGGGAAAGTAACACAGGGAGATAGAGTCTGAGACAGCGAGAGAGAGACAGAGACAAAGAGAGAGACAGAGACAAAGTCAGAGGCAGAGAGACAGAGAGGAGAGTGTGGAGATGGAGGAGTCTCCTTGGTGGTCCAGAAATTGTGTTTGAAGTCAGCAAAGCTCTGTTCAATTCCCGCATTTACTAATTTTGTGACACAGGAGAGGTACTTAATCTCCCCGAGTCTTTTCTGCTTTTTCTGTTTTTGTTTTTTTCTGGGAATGAGTGTAACATATTTGGGATGTAAATATGACACAAGGGAGATAGTTTGTAAAAATTCCCTAATGGCCTATTGGAAATTCTCGGGATTTTAAGTTTTCTGATGGAAGCAGTTATGGCTGCAGAGGTTGGGGCGTCTCTTCCCGCAGGGCTGGGCTCTGAGCCCAGAATCCAAGTGCAAGTTGATCAGGATGGAGTTGTCCGGGCGGAGTGCACCTCGGCAGGCTGGTACCCGGAGCCCCAGGTGGAGTGGAGAGACTTCCGGGGACAGATGTTTCATTCTGAGACCAACGTCTCGGTCTCACCGATAACCGGCCTCTGGGCTGTGACATCCAGCCTGACCGTCCCCAACAAGGCTGTGGGCGGCATGGCCTGCTCCATCTCTAGCCCCCTCCTTACGGAGAAGAAGGTGTCCAGGCACCACCTGCCTGGTGAGTGTTCAGTTCTGACCTCAAAAGCTCTGAGCACAGGCGCTCGTGTCCCCGGATGCCAGGACATTAGGAGGGAATCCCAAGGCTTGTAGCAAGAGTGGACGAGGAGGCAGGGCCCTGTACACAGCCTGCCCGGGGGTCAGGGGAGATGCACAGCTTCAGGTGCTGATTACTGAGGTGGAACAGAGCTGGGGTGCAGAGGGAGCCCCCAGCACAGCTGTCCCTTCCAGGGGAAACAGAAACCTTTGCTCCACATAGACATTTTTAAAAGTTTTTTAATAGACATTACTTTTTGGAGCAATTTCAGGTGCACAGCATAATTGGGGGGAGGAGCAGAGATTTCTCACGTTCACACAGCCGCCCCCTTTATCACATCCCCACCAGAGAGGTACATTTGTTACAGTTGATGAACTGACGTGGACATGTCATTGTCCCGAGTCCGTGGTGCACATCAGGGGTCACGCTGGGTGTGGTGCCTTCTGTGGGTTTGAACAAATGCACAGTGACCTGGATCCACCATCGCAGTATCAGACAGAGTGGTTTCACTGTCCGGAAAGTCCTCTGTGCTCCGCCATTCATCCCTCCCTCCCCCAGCCCGTGACATCACTGAAAGGGTCTTGCACGGTCTCCCTGGTTTGCTGTTCCCAGAGCGCCACATGCTTGGAATCGTGCAGTGTGGAGCCATTGCAGACGGGCCTCTTTCATGGAGTCCTGTGCACTTCAGCTTCCTCCGTGTCTTTTCATGGGCTCACAGCTCATTTCTGTACAGTGCTGAAGAATCTTCCACTGTCGGGCTGCAGCACAGTTCACTCACTTATCCATTCGCCCCCCGAAGGACCCCTCCATGGCTTCCATGCCTAACTTTGTATAAAATTTTCATTTCTAAATGATTTCAAAATTACAGAAAATTTGCAGGACTAATACACAGAGTCCTGTGCAGACTTTACCCAGATTCACCCAACAGTTAACGTCCTGCCCTTTGTTTGACCATCTCTCTCCACTCGTCTACTCTCTCTCTCCTGCGCGTCCACCTACATCCATCTGTACAAACACAACACACACAGTTTTCTGAACCATTTCAGAGCAGTTTGTAAACCTCGTGCCCCAGACCCTTGAACCCTGCAGCGTCTCCACCCTGAGAACACTGAAGCTCTCTCACTGTCTTCTTCACCCCTGGAATCCCTGCAGATCCCGCCTCCAGATGGTTCCAGTCCACAGCCTGGAAGATAGTTCTGCCTCTGTTTCTCGCAGCAGCCATACTTGGAGCCACAGTCGCCTGCTTCTTATGGAAGCGTGAAAGGGGTAAGAACGGGAAGCTGCCGGAAGAAGAAGGAGCTCGCGTGGCAGAGGAGTGGGACCTGCCATTGCCTGGTGGGCAGGGATCCCCGATGGGACAGGCCTGCCCCTCCAGACCACGCGCTCATGCAAAGCCCTGTGCTGACTTTCCCCATGTGTGCCCCAAATGCAGTAGGAAGGGAGCGCCCTGTGCAGGCCCAGCCCATGGGTGGCCCAGTCCCCACAGCCCCAGGGAAGCCCCCTCTCTCCGAGAGGCCCTCCGTGATTCCTCCCCAGGAGGTTTCACGAAGGCTGGCAGCTCTCCCTCTGGGAACAGACAGGGCTGGGCCTGGTCCTGAAAGGCTGGGCAGTGGTGACACGAGGCAGCGAGCCGGGCACGTGAGCCTCTGTTGTTGCCGTCGTCAGGACCGTCAGCAGCACTGACCGTCTCCCTCCCCACTGGTCCAGCCCTGCCTCCTGTGCCATTTCAGGAGCTGGGGACTTGCCCCTAGAGGTCACGCCCAGTTGGGGGAGCAGAGCAGACTGTCCCTTGGCCAGTGTTTGAGCCTAGTTATGGCTTTAAGGTGGAGGGGCAGCCTCAGGCCAGGGGGCTGGGCCCACAAACTGCCCTCCCCGGGGATGAACACCCCACTATTGTTTTCTGAACACTAAAGGAGGTGCATTTGTTCTTCTTTTACAGCATGATGAGGAGAAGAGCTCAGTGAGTGCTGTTTTGCTTAGCTTCCCAGAACAGGAGCTTTGCCTCCATCCATATGCTGAAGCCCACAGTTTTCTGTCTTTCTCCTGCAATACAGGCTGGAGACAGGTTGGCCTCATCTATGTTGAGAATCATGCTGGAGGCTCGGAGCCTCTGCCCCCAGGCCACCCTGTCACCAGCTGGATGCCCAGAGTTGCTTCAAGATGTCTTTCAGAGTTGCTTCCAGAGTTGCTTAGAGTGAGTTCCATCAGCATTTAACAGTCCGTCCAAGGCATTTTTCAGGAGGAGGAACAGCGACCCACTGGCTTAAACCAGCTCATAGCAGTGCAAACAGACTGCGGGGACGACACCTGTGCAGAAGCAGGGAAAGATGTACCGAAGTACCCTTTGCCTCATTCTAATGCCAAGGTCTCCACCTGCGGAGGAGCTTAAGCCCTATGAACATAACATGCGACATATGTGGAGGCGTGTATTTGAAGTGCACCTGTGCCAGCCTATGCCCGCCTCTACGTGGAATGACAAAACGTCCCTCTGGCATATTTGTTCTGTACCCCAAATAAAAGGCACCTGCTCTCCGTGTTCTGGGAGCCATAGCTTTGTGAAATTACTCCCTATGGTCTCCATTTCATAGGCTGCATGCTGAGAATAAAATTGTACTTTGTGTGACAATTATTCCTGGTGTAGGTTTGATTTTAACTCACCAAGAGGTGGACTCCCTTGGCCTGGCAACAACCTCAAGTCCCACCCCCGCCCCCTAAAGGCAAAGGCAGCAGAAGCCCTAACTCAATGCAGCAGGGGTGAAAGGGTGGGGGCTGTCCTGGGGACCTCGCAATCAGAGCTGGTCTCAGGGAAACAGGAAAGGGCAGGAGGGGCCTCCTTCAGTGACATACGCGTCTCGGCTTCTCTCCCTCACACACTGGCTTCTGATGGAGATAGTGTGGGAAGGTCAGAGCTACTCAAGAGGATGGTGAGGGCAAGGCCACGAAACGCCCCAGGGGAAGTCCAGACCCTTTCTGTCTTCAGTCTGCAATGTGATGCTTGTTCCCAAGTGTGTGTCTGCTCACAAGTGTGCATTTTCATGTGCATCCATGTGTACATGCATGTGTATGATGTGTTGGTCATGTGTATAAGTGTGTGCATGTCTGAATGCATGTGTGCATGCATGTCAGGATGCACATGCACACAAGCAGGTGTGTGCATAAGAGTGTGATCACGTCTCCACCCATGTGTGTGTGCATAAATGTGTATGAACGTAGCTGTGCGCATGTCTGGATGCAGGTGTGCATAAGCATGTATGTGAATAAATGTGTACATGTCTTCATGCAAGCATGTGCATTCATGTATTTGTGTGCATGTCTGGGTGAATGTGTGTATAAGCATTTGTGTGTACACATGCGTGAGTTCATATGTGTGCATGTGTGTGCATGCCTGTGTATCTAGTCCAGGGTGTAGAAATGCTGAGTTACATGCTGGTGAGTGGCAGCTCCATCCTTGTGAATGTCTGGTCTCAGCTGCCCCAAGACACCTTAGCTTCTTCTGTTTTGTTTCCTGAGGCCCTGGGAGAGCCTCTGGCAGTGAGTCCTGCCTGTGGGAGCTGCCAGGAGAGTCAGCTTTTCTGAGACAAGGCACTGGGGGAACACTGTTACCCTGGAGAGTGGAGAAATCAGTGACTTTGGGCCTCTGGACACGATCTCATAGGTGGGAGGCGTGGGGTGCGGGGGGCAGAATCTGTGGATGGAGTGCCCAGGACCTGGAGAGGAGAAACTGGCAGGGCACGTGACGGAGCAAGTGAGAGGACTAAGGGAAGCCCGGGAGCTGGTCCAAACATGGCCACCTGTTGCAGGACCAAGGAGGAGACAGAGAGAACACATGCATTTATCCCTTCATTCATTTAAAACAGTGACCGATGGCCTCATGGACCAGAAACCGGGTATTTACTACTGAGTGAAACAGCTTCTACCGTCCTCATGGGGCATCGAATCTATGTGGGGAGGAACACATAAGCCAATTAAAATTTTTAACTGACACTGGAATACATCAGGGTAAATATTACAGGAATGAATGGGTGCAATAATGAAGAAGGCCATATGGCATCGCCAGGCTCTGCTAGGGATGGCACCATCTAAAGGGTGGGTGGAGTGATGGGGAGAAGGCATCAGAGGGAGAAGGAGGAGACCCCTCCTCAGCAGCACAGAGCTTGGGGGCTGCAGTGCAAGAGCTGGGGGTGTGGAAGAGATGCCAACAGGTTGGGGGCGAGTGGGCGGCCCATCGTGCAGTGCCTGGAAGGCTGTGGTTGGGAGTCTGGATTTTCTGTAAAGTATGATGCAAAATGTGTGATGAGTTTTAAGCAAGGGAGAGGCACTGATGAAGGAAGAGAGGGTACAGACACAAGAGGGGTCCTGAGGCCCAAGTGGCAGAGTTGATGGGGGCCAGGAAAACAGAGGAGCCCAAGATGACCCTCAGCTGGGCGAGTAGCTGGGCTGCGGTGGCTCCATGCACTGGAAAGGGAAAGGCTGGGAGAAACCAGACAGATTCAGGCCAAGGAGGTGAGCATTATCTCAGAACCTCCCAAAACGGACATGTTCTCAGACGTCCAAAGAGAGATTCAAATCCATCGTTTTATACGCAAACCTGGGGCTCCCAGGGGAAGTGTGGACAGAGACGGCGATTTGGAGTCAGCTGCATGCACTGGCATTTGCAATTATGAAAGTGAATAAGATTTGGGAATTCACCACACTATCTACTCAACTTATCTGTAAACCTAAAAGTGTTCTTGAAAACTACTTTTTTTTTAAAAAAAAAATAAGGTTTAAAAACAAAACAAAAACAAGATAGAGACAAAGAAGAGAGAGCTAAGCTCTAGTCTTGGAGAACCCCAGTGTCACTCTTTGCAGATGACACAATTCTGTGTATAGAAAACCCTACAGAATCCTTCAGAAAACTATTAGAAATAAACAACTACAGCAAAGTTGCAGGATACAAAATCAACTTACGAAGCTCAGTTGCCTTTCTATGCTCTAGTAAGGAACTAACAGGAAGAGAACTCAAGAATATTCCCCACTTACAGTCGCAACAAAAACAATACAATATCTAAGGATAAACTTAACCAAGGAGATGAAAGACTTATACAACGAAAATTATAAGACATTATTGAAAGAAATCGATGATGACATGAAGAAGAGGAAAGATTTTCCAAGCACATGGATGGGAAGAATAAACATAGTTAGAATGTCCATGTTACCTAAAGCAATCTACAGATTCGAAGCAATCCCAAACAGAATCCCAATGACATTCTTCACAGAAATAGATCAAAGAATCCTAAAATTCATATGGGGCAACAAAACAAGCTGAATAGCTAAATTGATCTTGAGAAAAAAGAACAAACCTGAAGGTATCACAATCCCTGACTTCAAAATACGCTGCAAAGCTTAATAATCAAAACGACATGGTACTGGTACAAAAACAGGCACACAGATCAATGGAACAGAACTGAAAGCCCAGAAATAAAACCACTTATCTATGGACAGGTTATCTTCAACAAAGGAGCCGAGAACATACAACGGAGAAAGAAATGTCTCTTCAATAAATGATGTTGGGAAAACTGGACAGCCACGTGCCAAAGAATGAAAGTAGACCATTCCCTTACACCATGCACAAAAATTAGCTCAAAATGGATTAAAAACTTGAAGGTAAGATGTGAAACCATAAACTCCTAGAAGAAAATTTAGGCAATATACCCGTTGACATCAGTCTTAGCAGCATCTTTTCAAATACCACATCTCCTCAGGAAAGGGAAACAAAAGAAAAAATAAACAAAAGGGACCACGGCAGACTAAAGAGCTTCTGCAAGGCAAAGGAAACCAGGAACGAAATGAAAGACAACTCGCCAACTGGGAGAAAATATTTGCAAATCGTATATCCAACAAGGGGTTAATCTGCAAAATATATGAAGAACCTGTACAACTCTACAACAAAAAAAACAAACAAGAAGATCAAAATATGGGCAGAGGATATGAACAGACATTTTTCCATAAAGGACATACAGATGGGCAACAGACACATGGAAAGATGTTCAACATCACTAATCATCAGGGAGACACAAATCAAAACTACATTAAGATATTACCTTACACCCATTAGAATGGCTATAATTACCAAGACAAAAAATAACAAAGGCTGAGGAGGATGTGGAGAAAAGGGAGCCCTGATCCACTGCTGTGGGAATGCAAACTGGTGCCACCACTATGGAAAATGGTATGGAGCTTCCTCAAAAATTAGTAATAGAAATATCATACAACCCAGCTATCTCACTACTGGGTATTTACCCAAAGAACTTGAAATCAACAATTCATAAGGCTTATGCACCCCTATGTTCATGGCAGCACTGTTCACGGTAGCTAAGAAGTGGAAGCAACCCAAGTGCCCGTCGACTGATGGCTGGATAAAGAGGATGTGGTGTATACACAATGGAACACTACTCAGCTATAAAAAAGGACGAAATCGTCCCACTTGCAACAACATGGATGGACCTTGAGGGTATGGTGTTAAGCGAAGTAAGTCAGACAGAGAAAGACAAACACCTCATGATTTCAGTCATACGTGGAAGATAAACAAACACATGGACAAAGAGAACAGATTAGTGGTTACCAGAGAGGAAAGTGGTTGGGGGTGGGCATAAGGGGTAAAGGGGCACATATATAGAGATACTGATAAACGGTAATGTGCACCAGAAATTTCACAATGTTATAAACTATCACAACTTCAATAAAATAATTTTAAAACACTTATAAAAATCTAACTAAAATTATACAAAATTTATCCTAAGATCTACATTTTTCAATATCCTATCAAGCCACTAAAATACTACCGATAGATAAGACCATGATTAGAAAACTGATGAGAATTTTCACACACATAGCGATTAAGTTATTGATCCCCCAGTTTAATTATTTTCTAATAATTTTTCTTCCTACTTGTATTTTTTTCACCCATTATCCCAGTTGAATTTCCTTCTTAAATCTTCCTAGATTTTTCTATCTTGTCTTCTTGGGGTTTCAATTATCCTGCTAGACCCAGAGGAGGCTTCTGGGCTGGACTGTGCCCCGTTGGGGGCTCTGGCCACACCACGGGGACGGACTGCCTGTTGTATTAGTCAGCCCTGTGTGTGAGTGTGTGAAGATGGTACACAAACGTCTGTGTGTGTGTGTGTGCAAGTCTCTGAAGGTAAATGAGTGACTGTGTGAGGACGCACCTGGTGTGGAAGGCAAGGGGGCAGAGGTGTCCCAGACCCCAGCCATCCAGCTCCCTGCACTGTCCCCAAGTGAGCAGTGCCACCACAGGGCTCACACCCCGCGTGGCCGCCCAGACCCTCGAGTCCCTCCTGGTCCGTGCAGACAGAGTGTAAGTTACTGGGCAGGTGGGACGTCACTTAAGACGCTTAGGAAAGATTAATAAATGCAGGAAAGGCAGCCGCGGGCGAGCACATCTCGCAGACCCGGGGAGGGCGCTGTTCGCATCTGCAGCTGGAGTTCAGGCTTCTCATCTCTGCAGGAAAACAGGACTGTGCCCAGTGCAGTGTGTGGTCCTGAAATCCTCTTAGGAACCTGGAATAAACCACACCTTCTCTTGTGGAACTCCCTGAGCAAGCCAAGGCGTTCGTCTTCACTGTGTTC